ACTGTTTCCTACTCCACATAATTTCTCTTCCTGTCAGTAGCTTAGAAAAACCTCCATAAAATCCAGGCAACCTTTGAAAAGTTAATTCACCAGCAAGATAATCCTTAACTACAGACTTTACACACACACACCTTGTTTCACAGTAGAGCTGCAATAGTTTGATTTGAGTTGTCTATTGGAAAGAAAGCTCTACGTGTTGTGAAAGGTGGATCTTACTGTACTTTCACAAATTGGGAGCTGACATAAAGCAAGTTCCCAAGAATTCATACAGTGAAATTGAAATGTCATGGAGCACAGGAATGTTGAGATGGGCAGCACAGTTTTCTTCACCAACCCTCACCCTCTTCCTTTTTGGTACTGCTGGCAGCCTGCCACCCTGCTTTACCTAAAGTCCCTCTAATAAGTACTTACTACAGCTGTTCCTGTGGGCAGCTGACTAAGCTGAGAGCACAAAAGAGCAGAAATATTTTACCAGTCTGTATTTGCAGAAGCCTTTTGCAGGTGACAGGGACAGAGCTTGCAAACCATATGCAGAAAATACACATATGGACATCTTCAGGTGAGGTCCCTTCACACTCCCTTTGGATAAGGAGTGAGAAAAAAAACCAACTCCTTAGCTTCTAACTTTCAGTTTCTTGTGCTTCTTACCTCAATCCTATTCTGTGACTACCATTAACTATAAGGTCTAATGTCTTAACACACTGCTTTTGTATTTTAATGTGAGAGGGGGGAGTGGAAATCAGGTGTTCTGCATTATTTGTCATGGTAATAAATGTTTTCCATATTAAGGTTGAGTAGCCTCAATGGGACACATCTGTGTCCCTCTTACTAACTGTGACCTGTGCTAATTGAGTGAGTGATGTACCCATTGAAAGAAAATAGAAAAGAAGGAAATTAAGATGGATGAATTCAAATGCACCTCTCCAGTGAGGTGAGAACTGCGTAGTTTCACTTTCCTTTAATTCCTGGAAGTCTCAGATGTTCTCATTCTGAATTTTCCCATTTGATAGGAAATTTGCCGTTTTGTTCATATTTCAGCCTCTTTTACCCATATCCATTTTTACAGGGAAGATCAAAATTTTGTTTCTGGAGCAGAAGCAGTTAAAACAATCAACAGCCTTATAAAGTGGCACTGCAGCTGCTTCTTAAGTAGCAATGGATCTTAATGAAAGGCTGCTCATAAAATTATTATTGCAGCAGCAAGTAGAGGTCCCAACTGATATTCGGCCCCTATTGTGCTAGGCGCTGTATGAACACATTAGGAGAGAATAACTTCTCTGCAAGGAATTTAAAACCTCATTAGATAAGACAGGAAGAAGCTGTGCCAGGAATAAGGGTCCCCACGGGGTAAAGGAAAGAGCTCTGGTCACAGGGAGAACACATGCTAGAGCTTGGAGTAAGACCCCAGGTTCTTGCCAGTCAGGCTCACTGTCAGCCCTCCAGGAGAGCGTAATTCCTATCTAGCAGCTCAGGACCATTTTCACAGAATCACAGAATTGAGTTGGAAGGGACCTTAAAGATCATCGAGCTCCAACCCCCTTGCCCTGGGCAGGGACACCTCCCACCAGACCAGGTTGCTCCAAGCCCCATCCTATTGCGTGAGGCCAAAATTTGAGGCCGCCTTTTTTCCAAATACGAACTCCAGTCCTGCACAGGGAAAGCCACAGGCCTGTCCTGGGGCACCTGCTCGCCGTGCTCGGGGAGGCAATCTGGAGGCAGCCTGCCCGAAGGGCACGGAGCGGGGCTGTGCATCCAGCCAGAGGCCAGCACCAGGATGAAAACAGCTGTGACCGTGGTATTTGTCTGTCACACCCCCTCTTCCCCGAGCCCTGCCTTCTCCTCAGCCAGTGTCAAATCTTCTTTGGACTTGAGGTTGGAAGGGGCTGAACTCCCAAGGTACTACTTTTCTTGGAGTCTGTTGGCAGCATTGACAATTAGGCAGCTGATGCATTAACATGCCAGAGAGGCTATGATGTTTATTCATGTGCTGCTCTCGAGGGTTTATTGAATTGATGCCTGGTAAAGCAACTAATGGGAGCCCTTGGCAGGGTACCTTAGATGGATTTCCTTATTATCTCTCTAGATTTTATACTCTCTAGCAAAATCAATATTCAAGCTGGTGCACAATGCAGCCTCTTTTAGCTTCAGGGTTTAAAGATTTATGAGGCATCAGGGAAAACCAATGAAGGCAAAAGACAATGACAAAAGAAATAAAATCCAAGTGACACAAATTGCTACTGAACCAGGGCGGGCAAAAGCAAGTTTTGGATTTTCTATCTTTGGTAGGGAACCATTTTTCAATTGACCTCTCCCTGCCTGCCCCTCTCCCTTCCTGCCTCCTGCACGTAAGGCTGCTGTTGTCCTTGCCCTCCAGAGACTGTGACCACAGCAAAGAAAGTGCTGAGCCTTTAACAGGGAGTTACAAGGATTTCAGGTGGCAGTTTTGGGTTTCTGCAGGCAAGAGATGCCAAAAGAGGAAAGAGAACCACCGCTGTAACATACCTACACCCTGTGCATCTTACACTTCTCCATAGCAGGTCTGATCTATATTGCATGGACCTCTGTGGGGCTTCAACAGTCCTGCGAAACAGAGCAAATAGTTCTACCTATTTCAATTTTGGAAAGGTGGGAGGAAAACTGCCTTTTGTTCAAATACTTCCATTTCTTTTTTTTTTTTTTTTTTTTTTTTTTTTTTTTTTTGTGAGGCATTCTGCAGTGTCACAGAGTCAGTTTTCTTCAGATTTCAAACTTGCAAACTGCCTAACACTAATGCTTTTCACGAGTAATGTAGTCGTCATCCCTTCCTCCCCATATACAATATGACCCACTGCCTTGTGAGCTTGCAAGCTGATTTGTATGGTTCTAACTAGCTAGATTAGGATACTCAGGTACGTTATAATTTCATTACTTCCGTGGAGTTATTGAGATTCTCACCATATTTGCTTATGACTGCCCTAAAGGGGCATGATAGAGTTTAAAAGGCTGATAACACCATGAGGTTAAGCGGGTGCACGGCTGGCTCCCACACTGACCAGTGCCACCCCTGAACCTTCCTGATGACAAAATTGCTGTATATTTTCTTTTCTCCCACATCTTCAACAGAAGCATTATGAGGCTTAGTTCAGCCATCCTTCAAGAGATCTTCAGCATTGGCACCCTTGTGCATCCTTCACCATGCTCTTTATTTGCCTTCCTCCACAAACTGAGGTACAACATCTGCAAGTGCAGTTCATAAGTCAGTGGAGGGAGAAAACACTAAGCCAAATTTGTTGCTTGTTCCACCAAAACTTAGGTGAAGGACGCTTTGGTCCTGTTGCATGCTGCCTGAAGGTACCGTCACAATCACAAATCTTGACACATAAACTCTTAAACACTTGATAGTGTGGAAGTGGTGTACAAATCCCATGCAGGGTCTCAAGAAAGGGGCAAGTTTCAACCAGTAAATTTCATGGTCCAGCAGGCTCTGGAGGATCTTGTCAGTTCCTCTGCTATGTACCTCTCTTCCCCAATCATTTTATTACTCTGAACATCTGTGGAAACGTGGAGGTGCAGGGAGCCTGGAGGCTGCTCAGCATGTTTGACTCCATTTTCTTCTTAAACATGTGCAAATGCTACTTCTATTTGCACCTTCCCAGGGCTGTGATTTTCAACACCAAAGCCTAAATGACACCTAAGATCCCTCCAGAGCATTAAACAAACAAGCCAGTAGGACATCTCACAGGCTGGGAACTGCTAAATTGAAAGCAGTGGTACAAGCTGCACTGCTTTGAAAATGAACCGGTTGAATTTCTTCACTGTGATCCAAACCTGAGAGGTCTTTTCTCTTGTCTTTTTCTGCATGAACCCAGGCTCTGCGCATACCCCAGAAAACCAAACCAGGATTCTGATTCAAGGCTTAAAATGTAGTACATCCTGTGTTTCTAGTCTCATTTTGATTTTAATTCAATTTATATGAACCCAGGGGACTACCCATAGTAATAGTTTGACAGAGTGGGTGTTTAACATTTTATGCACTGTCGGTGAGCTTCTGATTTCTGGGTGTTTAACATTTTATGCACTGTCGGTGCAGAGCTTCTGATTTGTTCCCAGGGCTGTGATTTTCAACACCAAAGCCTAAATGACACCTAAGATCCCTCCAGAGCATTAAACAAACAAGCCAGTAGGACATCTCACAGGCTGGGAACTGCTAAATTGAAAGCAGTGGTACAAGCTGCACTGCTTTGAAAATGAACCGGTTGAATTTCTTCACAGTGATCCAAACCTGAGAGGTCTTTTCTCTTGTCTTTTTCTGCATGAACCCAGGCTCTGCGCATACCCCAGAAAACCAAACCAGGATTCTGATTCAAGGCTTAAAATGTAGTACATCCTGTGTTTCTAGTCTCATTTTGATTTTAATTCAATTTATATGAACCCAGGGGACTACCCATAGTAATAGTTTGACAGAGTGGGTGTTTAACATTTTATGCACTGTCGGTGAGCTTCTGATTTCATCCTGACAGTAGATACAAGCCTCATAAAATTACTAAAAGGCAAGTAGCCTCTTAGTAGCAAGTTAAAAGCTGGATCATGTTTAGGACTATACAAGGTATTTTGAGCTTAAGGATTAATATTGGTTGAAGAACTGTGTTAAAATAACTGGCTGTAAGGAGAATACCTACTAATGGTGTGTCTTGGGCTGTCTGGAAGTTCTGAAGTTTATTCTCAAAAGTAAGCCCTCTCCTCTTCCTTTTAAATGACCTTGCAAAGAACATCCCTATACAGTGTGATTGCCCATAGGAGCATGATTTGTAGTCATAGAACAGCAAAATACATAGCGCGTGTCTTCAAAACATCCTTTATAAATGCCTGGTTTTCAGGACAGTCATCCCATTGCAAATGAAACTGCTGTGATCAGAACCTTCTATAATGCAATATTTTGTTCATTTGTTTCTGTGATACACCATGCATTTCAGGGGAAAGGCCACAATGATTAAAACCAAAATCCATCAGTCTGTCCTCCATCAGTCTTTTCCTTCTGCTGAATCATTACCTAAAGAATTTCTGAAAGATTTCTTCAGCTGGAAAAAAAAAGGGAAAAAGTGTTATTTTCTTTGTATGTTGAGGGAATGACCAAGACTAGTCTTAAGAGGATATGGGTACAAAAGATGACAAAACACAATCTCAGATATTTCAGTTCCTTGTTCCTCACTGTCTATGGTTCTCCTTCTTTGAACAGCGTGCTAAGGAACCTGATTCTGCTTGATAAATATCAGTGGTAATGTCAACATAAATCAAGAAACTGGTATAAGATTACAATAAAAAGCATTGCCTCCCATGGTGTTTACATGAAGTTTACACAGAATTTAACCCTAATTATTCATTTAATAGAACAATCAATCCTTTAAAAACTGGGGCATGTGCTTAGGTGGAAGAGACCATTAAATGATAAGGCAGCTATCTAAGATATTTTCTAGGCATATTTTATATTTTAAAACGCAGGCAAACAATTTTTTTTGGTTACATTGTGAGATCAGATCAGTCAGAAATGCTGACTTCGAATTTCTTCAGAAAAACAAGAAACCTTCCAGTTCACTGCCTTTAGTGCCCTTGTAAAACTGGATAATTGTCTCTGCAAATTGAAGCCATAAATTACTAATTTCACATGGTGGGAGAGGACTGAACATACTAATTAGTCGAACAGTTGCATTCAAATTTAAGCAAGCCAGGCAAATACAATCCACATACTTAGATGTTCTTCTGTCTGGAGCACCTAGGTCATTGCCACAACCTACTGAGAAATATCAAAGCAGGGCTGCCTGTGTTGCCTGTGCACACTGCAAGTGCCCTCAAACCCAGGCTCCATCCCTTGGGATGAACGCAGGGCTGGGCAGGAAAGGGTCCTGCCCTGGGCTGTGGCAATGAGACACAGAAGAGTAAAACCACATTGCAGGTCAGCGATCCCTTCCACTTAAGACCATGAGGGTGAGACTGAAACATCGCCTTACATTGTGTAAAAATGCCTTAAAGTCCATTTTTGCTTGGGGACATCCTTTTGTTTCCTTTTTGCTGGCAGAGAGCTCCTGTGGGTCAGACCCGGCCGAATTTGGCTTAGGTGTTGTCCTGGTAGGAAAATGCACTGGGTGTGCACCTGACTGCGGGGCAGAGAGTGAGCCTGCTTTTGTTGTCACGTTTTTGCTAGGAGCTCCTGGGAGCACCATGTTTGAGCACCCACTTTGAGGATGCACAGTGTCAGCAGCATCTGAAAACGCTTGTTTATTCTGGGCTTTTCTTTCTCCCTTCCAATCAGAGAGTCCGAGCTCGGAAAACAGATGGGATTGTTCTATTAGTAATTGGTCCAGCTGCTGCAGAGAAAATAGAAGGAAAAGCATATTGCAGTAATAAAAATATAATGAAAGGAATCAAGCAGGATACACAAGAGTATATGAAGCATACCTGCTTCTTCTGCTTGGTCCAAAGAAGACATGCAATATCTGGCAAAGGAGATGTTGCCATAAAAATGAGGAGAAAAGCCTAAAGGCCATTTTATTACAACAGACAGATCTAATTGCCAAATGGAAAATCTCCAAATGGACTTTAATCAGAGACCATTGCAGTCTTCATCCTCTAACCCAAGTTTATCAGGGAAGAATCAAAGACAAGTAACCAATCCCCTGGTCATGTTTTCTTTACCTTTCCTTATGAAATGGAGAGCTGGTCCAGAAAAAAACAGTAACAATATATCAATTGGCTGACTGCCTATCACTTTATTCTGGAAATCCCAGGACCTTTGTAGAGCAGAAGAGAGTACAGTTACTTCTGTAATTATTGGCATTTTCCTGGTGATTGAGCTCAACAGCATAGTCAAAGAGAAAGAGAGCCAAAGACGTAAACTGTAAGTCTGCTATCGGAAATCCTCTTATTCTTGGCAGACTTTATTCAGGTGTACCTCAGAGCTAAGACTTTCAACACTGAATAGCAGGACAGACTTTAAACTCTTCCCACATGATCCAGAGTGGTGGCTTTTGCAACGTACCATAAGGATGTCCTCCCTGACCTGCCAAGCTTGATTATTCAACTGAAGTTCCAGCTCTGCAACCTCCTGACGAACGGCTTGCCGTAGGAGTTGCAGGTGTCTGCCTTCCTCCCTGTAGGGAAAGCAGTGACAACATAGTGAGTGAGCAGTGAACACCCTCCTCTTCCTCAGCCCCAGCATAACACCTTTATCTCCCTCTGTTGTGTTGTTAGGTTTTTTTACCCATAATCATAGGATACCTTACAAAATAATAAATAACAGGCCTTGTCTGCTTGACTTCCATTTCTTTGATTATCCCAGTTCCAAGATTAAACACGTTGTAGTTGCAGAGCCAGCTTGAGTCTGGGGAAGTTTATCACTTCTGATTTATCACCAGCACAAAGACTGCACAAATGCCCTACTTTCAGGCAGCTCAAGACTGGAAGCCCATAGTAACTTTTTGTGAACCTGAAGGCTTTTCAGTAATCCGTGTGAAGTTGGGCTGAGTCCATGATAAACTAGTTCAATCTTTCCTGTATCGTCACCCTATTGAGCATGGGCACTTATGTATATGGCCTAAAGGGACTGATTAGTCAGAGATCACTCCCACCTCCTTCCCTGAACCCAGCATTGTCCTGGGACATTGAGCTCCAGCTGACTGAGGTCTGTTCCTGTAATCCTATGTTAAAACATAGTAGTTGCATACTAAAAATCTAGCCTCCATCTATGGAGCAATCTTCCCTTTCAAAATGCTCATGTTTAAGAGCCTTGAACAGTGTGGAGAGAGACTGGACAAAAATCACATCACAATACATTTCTCCTCTACTTGCGGGATGCCCACAGCTGCACCTCACTGACCAGTAGACCTCGGGTAACACAAGTGACCAGACACACTGCACGTGCCCCACGGGCTGTTGCTGATGATAGCTTTGGATTTAGGTAAGTGTGTTGGGGCTGCCATTACCTTCCTTCATCTGGCATCATGCCGGAACATAGGGCCTGCTGTTCGGTCAGGTGCTGTTCAATCTCATCCAGATTCTCCTGGAAGTGCTGGCAGGACCTCTTCATCACTTCTATTTCATGGAGGGTACACTACACAGAAAAGCAAGACAATACCCCACTTGGCTACTTTTCTTTGAGCATTTCCATGTCAAGTGCATTTGAAGCTAACAGCCCGAAGGGCATGGGTACCGTTCTTCTAGCTCCCCTAGAAGAGCGATAAAATAGTAGTCAATGAGTGAGAAAAGGCGTCCCAGTTCACCATAAGGCACTGACTCACTGCCATCTTGTGGCAACAGCAAGATAGCTGACAAAAGGCACTAATGCTGTTCAATATACTGCTCAAAGACAAGACATTGCAGATTTATATATTCAATGATGTGGCAGCATAAAATTCACCGCTTTCACTTCCCAAAACCTTTATCTAATAATTTCCCTCCCCGATTTGTACAACAGTTCAAGTTTCATTTCCTTATGAAGAGCAAAGAGAAGAGGAAAAATGGACCAAGAGGTACGCTGCTCCTTCCACGTTACTCGCAGGATGCAAAAGCCACTCCTGACTCCCTTTCTTCCTTTCTTCCCCAGTACATTCTGAGTCTTTCACAACTTTTGGTAACTCTCAGCAATTCTGAACAAAGAAATAAAAAATCTGCTGACTTTTTGCTATCAGTATTTTTATTGCAATTACTCATCTTAGTGGAACTTTAGATTTAATGCAAGCTTTTTATTCTACCATGGGAAAATGGTTTGAGGCTCTGGGAAGTCATAATTCGCTTTGATTTAGAGTATTTTGGCTTTTGGCATCTATCTTGGTGTTCACAGTTAGTCTTTAATAAACACTAAGTAATATAGCCTAAATGAGTTCTCGGTAAAAGAGAATTATGCTATATCATTTCTGCAGTCCAATAAGTTACTCAGTTGCTGTAACCCAGCTGATTCACAGGAACTCACTGAAACTCATTCTCATATCTCAGCTCTTCATTTGACCTGTAAACTTTATCACCCAGTTCACAGTAACCATTTTAAGACTGAACTGCTGTACATAAGTCACTAAAAGAAGCAGCCCGTCAAAACTGAAGGTACACAGATAGGTTTGCCATTTTTCTCTTGATGGGAATGCTTCTTTCCTCACCCATTTTCTAAGTTACATTCCCAAGATACGCGTCACTAAAGAAGCAAGCGTGGCAGGAGAGGAGAGGAAAAGGCAGCTCATACATTTAGCTCGCAAGTGTGTCGGCTGCCTATGGGTATGAAGAAACCTACTCACCGGAGCAAGATGGCGAGTTGCAGCCTCCTGTAAGAGCATCAGCATTTTCAAGAGCCGCAGCTCAGTGGCAGCATAGTTTGAGCAGCAGCCCCCAGGGTTCTGGGGAGAGATGGCCACAGGGAAGGTCCATGGGCAGCAGCTGGGGGAGCAGCAGCAGTGACAGCCCTGTGCACCCCTGGCGCCAGAGGCTTCACCCCAGTGGCGTGACCTGTATTGGCCACAGACCATGGTGTCAAGAGAAGCTGATTTTTTCAGGTGAGCGTGATGTGGATGAAGCAGCGATGGCCACCTGAGCTTCCCGGCACAGATGCCAGTTTGGCTGGAGTCTTCAGTGGTCTGCTTCATGCTGCTCTTTGAAGGTCCAGGGTCTGACTGTATGGGAGGATCACCCTCAGGGAAGTCCACAGCATCTTCCCTAGCAAGGGTGTCACTAAAAGGAGCATTTTGCCCTATGCACTCCACCCTTGAAATAAACTCCAGCCCTGAAGGCACCTGAACAGTAACAGATTTCAGAGGAGTAGAAACCATTTCATCAGTTGGGACAGTGTCTCCCTGTTTGTTATTACCTAACATCTCCCCTGTGCTTCCAGTCTCTCGATTGTCAGATGAACTTAATCCAGGCTCTTCTGCTAGGCAGGAGGGGTGCCTCTGAGGTTCTTGCATAGAATAGCTTGAGGCAGAACTGCTCCCACTTTGTGCTGCTGAGCCCTGCTGTGGACTTTCTGGGAGCTCTGTTTGGGAGGAGCATCTTGTATTTTTTGAATCGTCATCTGTTTTGCAGAACTTCTGGCTGTTTGTCACCTCATTCACTGCAAGCAGGGTACTACCTTTGCTGACCACTTCCACACCCCACCATGATCCTTTAACATGTCCTGTACAACCTCCATGGGCACTTTCATGACGTGCAACTCCAACATCCTTTTCAGTCAGGCACTTCTCACCTTCATTTTCGCCTCTGATTTTGTTGTCACTGATGACTGCAGGGTTTATATCAATCAGTTCAGTGAAGGCTACATTCACCTTTTTGTGTCCTGTCCTAAAATATAGCTGATGATCAAATTTTAAGCAGCTAGGATCTCCTTCATCCTGACTATCACTCTGAAAACAAGGACTACGCTCCTTTATGCACTCCTCTTTTCCTGGTAGCTTTCTTCCAGTTTTATGCTCCTTCATGCCTACATCACAAAACTTTTCTTGTACAAAACTCTGTGGTTCAGCTTTACAGGCCTCATACTCTCCATTTTCTGCAGTCAGGAGCAGATGAGTCTCTTCTCCCTTGTCACTGCCTGCTTTTTTTGATCCGGGTGCTGGCAAAATGCTCTCGGAAGATGTGACGAAGACCTTAGCAACACAATCATCTAGCTTTTGTTGAAAATCTTGATTTAACATCAGAAACTCTGGCCTGTATGACACAGCTGTTTCTTGATTGCAGATATCAGAAATAAAGTTGATCTTTCCTGACAAAGATGTATTCTGAAGGGAAAAAAAAAGGAGGAAAAACAATAAAGGAAGGAAGAACTGAAATATTATACCTGTTCTATCACACTGGTTTGCCCATCACTATTTGGCCTTGGGCACCACCAGGCCCAGAGGCGTCTTAAAATACGTCTTTAAAGATCTTTAAATGCCCAGTGAACCAAAGAATCAAAGATTTTTGTAATACTTCTTCTCTAATGCCTTGCACAAATCTTGCATTAATGTGGTGAAAGAGTCGCACAGAGTTCTGAGGCAAGCTTCTTGCCTTCTGAGCTTTTCTAGGAGGATGAATTTGTTTTCATGAAGCTTTCACCACTGCATGATTATTATTTTTTTTAATGTTACTTGTGCCAGAGTTACAGAGTTTTCATAGACCTACCAACAACTATTGCTCATTTCTTACCTGCAAAACTACAGGTTCTGGCATCTCCTCCATGAACCCACTGCTGTCTGACTGGCAGCTGCTTGTTCTTGTCACCATCACCTCTACTGGGGAAAAAAAAAAGGATAAGAAAAATTAGAAAGAAAGGCAGAAAACAGTACCAGGTCAAAATGAATATAAAGCTAAGAAGGGGCACTTTAAGTGTATATTTTTAGAAATATTCTTGATCCTGGTCAGAAATCTGCAATATTGCTACAACAAGAAAAAATAACAACACATGCTCAGGATAGCTACTGCTGATGTTACTAAGCATTGACTTATTCACCAGCTTAATTGTCACCTGCAGATTTTAGATTTTTATTTATTTACACAACATGCACAATATAAATAACCTATAAAGCAGCCAACCACTAGTTTTACTCTGCTAAAATTAATTACTTTTGACTGTTAGAACTGGTTCAGACCAAGTCTCATTCATACCTGTTGAAGCGGTTTTGATGGCTTCAACCAGGTGACTCCTTCAAGGAAAGGGAGCTGCCCTAGCCTTTCCCTAGACCAGTTGGTCTCTGAGGCACCATCATCTTTGTTGTTTTTTGGTCTGAGAACAGGAAATCGCAGTAACAAGCAGAGAAGATGGGGAGTTGCATGGCAAGATAAAGGCAAGAGGGAAGATATTCTAGATTTACACCAGACAAGGTTTTTAATCTAGCCACCACATCATCTGACTAAATCAATTCTTACCCCAATTTTAGCAATTAAATTACACCATTAGCTATCTGATTTAATGAATAAAAGCCAACCCTTTTCAAAAGACATGACTGATGTTAAACCCTCAGTTATCCTGTACATCCCAATACCTTTCAGCCCTTGGATAACTTGCACTTTCAGATAACCTCCATTCTCAGATAATGCCCTCATCTGGCACCACAAGAAAGGAGCTGGTGGAACAGGCTGAGGGATTCTGCTGAGGGAAGGAAGGGAAGGAGACTGAAACGGTCTGGATACACTTCCCTTCTTCTTCCCTACATACATAATGTTTTCTGAACTCTGAGACCTTTTATCTTCTGGTTAAATCCATGAAAATGTGACAAATCACCTAGCGGTTCTGAGACCTGAGTTATTAATTCTCATTTGTATGAATTGGAAAATGCAGGGAAAAAAGTCTACAAACTATGTTTTCACACATTATCAGACTATGGACTTTAATAAATGTATCTTAGGCATCAATTAATGAAAATCACACAATCTATTTGTATGCAGCAACTGTAAAATCAAAACCAGATATCATTTTGTGTTTTTAAATGAATTAGTTGCATTGTCACTCATCATGAGCACATCAGTCAGACACTTTCCTATTTCGGATGAGAAATATGTGGTTCCCATCTCACACATCAAAAAATCTGCAGTGATGTTTCTGAAAATTGCCTGTTTTGTGGGTGGTCTCAAAAAGTCATCCTTGCAGTTTCCCACAGATGACATCATGGTTCAGCTTCTCCCACAGGGAGACTGCTCTACAGATTCTCTAAACTTTTTTAAAGCTGCTTCAGTTACCCATTGCATCTTTCCCAGCTGTTGCTTCCAGTGTGTCAGTCTGACCTGTAGTTTTCTGTACATAAAAATGAAGAAAGAAAGGCTTAGGAAAATTTTGAAAAGCAGAAATGTTTCAGCTGCTGCAGTTCCAACTGGTTTGAGACTCAAATTATTTGAGCCTCAAATACTCAGTTGTATCCTCCAATCATAACAACTGACCTTCAAGCTTTAAAGTTTGCAGAGTTAAACGACTAAATTGTCAGCAGATTACCTAGTGTTTTAAGGTGCCTGTTTTTCTCCTGAGACATGCAGGATACCAAAGTATCTAGCATGTTACTAGCAATTACATGTAGGGAAAAACCCATAACTCTTAATGGAAGACTAATTGCTGTGAGAATTTGTCTTCTGATCTGGTCAAAACCAGGCAGCTGAAGTCAGGTTTGACCCCTTTATTATGATAAATGCAATGAGTCTGTTCTAACAACACAGTCGATTGTGTTTGTGTATTGCAACCACACAGCCCTCCCACCCATGTTTATATTCACGCACTAGCAAAAGTAATACCCAAAACATGCGATGGTGGACTCTGGGCTAATCTTTAGACACAAGGTAAGACCTTAAAGACTGGATGAAATGTCTGCACACCAAGTTAATAGCACTGCAGTTAGCCTACAGAAAGACCTCCATGTGTCTCCCTGGACCTGCCCTTTAAAGAGGTGTGATGTGCACTCTGCTATCAAGGAGTAAAGATGCAAGGTTTGTAAATAAATCAAGGCTTTCTGTGTATGCATTTAAAAATGGACCTAATGACCATTCTGAGCATAAATCCAGATTCTACAACTTTATGTTAGCAAAATAGAAGCTTATAAAAAAGAAGAGAAGTACAGTAGAGGGAGAACCATGTTAATCACAGTTCACCTGTTCTTGTTACTCTGATTTCCTGTCCTCAGACCAAGTAATCGCCTTCACCTGAGACAGGCGGCTAATTTGCACCTACCTACATATTAAATGTGTAATGAACTAATAATACTCCTAGAATGCATGTTTAAATTCCCCATATAGTCAGTGCAAAGCGATGTCTCAGAGGGTCTGAGCTGCAATTCTTTTCCAACCACATTCAGATGCCTAATTTAATCATTACATCCCACACTGACTTGCAAGATGCTACCCAGCATGCCAGGCCCTGTTGAAGGTAGGCAGGTGAAGATAAGATGAGATGGTTCTCTAAATCTGTAACGTTATTCAAAGCCAGTCAAAATTCCCTTGATTTCACTGGAAGTCTGAAATTAAAAAAAGACTTAGTAAAAATTAATATGAGCCTCCGATTCAAGGTGGAGTAAAAAGCTATGAAGAGACTACCAAAGTGTCTCCATGAGGATTTCAAGCTGAACAACATGCTCCTGGGACAAACATGGAGCAGGGCTGGGCTGGGAAGGCAGGTGACACTGCAGGCTGAGGCTGTGCTGATGCTAGACTAAACATGACGGCCTTTTCAATTTGAGTCAGCTCACTCTCATCTTATGTAAATATAGTTTGATATAATGTCTGTATACCAGGGCCAAGTAACGTTTGCATAATGGCAGGCAGCATTTGCATACCAAGGAAACTGTTTTGGGTGGGGAGTGGGCCAGTCTATCGCTTCATTTCCTCTTAGTGTCCCAAACAGCAATTAAGTGAGTCTGCAAATTAGACCATGCCTGATGCTGTCCTGAGGAGGAATAGTTTCCCTCTTTGTGAAATTTTCAGCAATGTTAATAGCTTGCCAGTGGTAACAGTCCAGTTTTTCTTGACAGGCTCTAATCCTCAGTGAGGAGACCCCCAGCCCAAGTTTCTACTAGGAGATAGACTTTTTGCAGAGGTCCAAAGCAGGTCTTTCCTACGTTTCCTAGGACAAATTCCTCTATCTACCAGGTTCCTGGTGTTTTCTCTCAGAATGGACTGGCCTCTAAAGCCCTTGACCTAATGGCCAAAGTCACCGTAGGATCACCACTTCTTCACAGCAACAATTCCTTATGTTTAAATCAACTAAGTCTTTAAGCAACTGGAAGATCGTCTTTAGGAGGGATACAAGTTGGCCAAAATCTACATGGATTATTTTGATATTTTTAAAATGCTCTTGCCTTTCTCTTTGAAATGTGCTTTTTTTCTTTTCTGAAAGAAACTACATTTTTTAATTTGAAGAAGAAAGATGAAAAAAAAAAATGGGCTAAACACCAGAACATTAAGCAAAACATATTTTCTTTTCTAGCCTACCCAAATTTCATTTTCCCCTGATCATTTGGTTCAGCCACAGAACCAAAATATCCATTATTCATATAGCTCTACACAGTTCTCCTAGTGTGTGGAGACACCCAAGCCTGTAGAGATTCGGCAAATACGTGCAGAGCATCACACCAAGGAAAGATAAAGTATGCTTGGAGAAGTAGAGACACAGACCAGTATTCAACTACGAACTAAAAATTACAACTCTGGTCCCTGTGTGGAGAATACATCTGGCTATGCTGGAAAGAGGAAACATGAAAATCGCCCCTGAAGACCTTGGTGAGGAAAACCTTGGCAATTCGCCTTTCTGTGCTAATTCAACTGGGGGAGTTTAGCTCCTGCATCCCATTTCTGTTCTGCCTGAATTTTAAATAAAAATAGGTCAGAGGAGCTCACTAATCAGGTTTCTGCTTCATTTTGTATCCTATAAGAAAGTACATGTCTTCCAAATCTCAGAAGTCCCACAGCTTTCCAGGCCTTTACTTGATCAATCCAAATTCATTAAGAGACTTTTTCTCTCCCCTTATTTGCATGCAGATATAGAGGCTCCCATCTTCAGCAACCATCAGTGCAGGAACTTTCTGAAACTAGGTTCACCATTAGTGAAAGACTATTCCCTAATTAGTTAAAAAATAAGCGGAGGAGCACTGTTCTCATTCCTCTGAAGACTCTGCAGCTGGCTTTCTGTGGACTTGGCTGCAAATAACACACTCTCTTTCTAGTTTCCAGCCTGGAGAATACTTGCAAACTGCAAAAGATGCCATGAGAGCTACTGCACTGCTTGTAAATAATACCACAATTTTTTGCATGCCTTTTGAATCACGTTAACATTGATGAACGTACGTCAGTAGTTGTTTTTCTATATCATTTGAGTATGTGGGGAGGCATAGGCAAAAAAGAACATTTGTGCAAATTTGAACTTTAAATTCACAAATTAAAAGCTGGACTGCTTATCCTGGCAAAGTAGAATGGCCAATTGCAGTCTAGCAAAGCTGTTCAAAATTTAGATTATTTTTTTTAGCTATAAATGTTGCTGTACATCAATGTAGATAAATATTTCTAAAACTGTCTGCTACATACATAGGACTAAATAATGCACAGAAGCTGCAATTTAGTCAGATATTTTGTAAAAGAAAAGGAAGCCTGGAGAACTTAGAATAAGACTTTCCTACTTCACTCTATAAGTAAAGGCATTTTGCAGTCTCTCTTGCACAAAACTCTCAAGGCTTTAACTTTATTACAGCTTAAACACTCCGGTTAAATTCAGCAGGGAAACTAGATTCAGGCTTAAAGCTATGCATAATATTCCCACACC